GGTTAGAGTGTTGTTTGCCTATGGCGTTTTAAAGCTATATTCGTCCCCACAGCCCAAAACATAAAAACTTGCTCTAGAAGGGGAACTACTCAAAAATCTAACTCCTTAAGGGTACCTTCCACCTACCCAAGGTAAGTTCTAATGGTGATTCTAAGTTAATTTCACCAATATCTTTAACATGGGTAAACCCTCCATATCATTAGATATTCGATTGGGACATCATTGTTGAGAGAAGGAAGCCTAGAACTCGAAAATCAAGGGTTTGAACTTCAAAAAGATTAACACTGATAAGCAACATCTTTTGTCTTACCAATAACATCAATCAATACTAGAACAATGATTGAATATCTATTTGTTTAGTCATGTAATTAATGCTCCTATATTAGTCTACTTATTTTAGCATGACTTAGCCTAGGTTTTTATCATTAATGAGACAGTATTCTTTTCTTATCAGATAGTATGTATTACTGTACCCTAGTGCAGAGGCACAATAGCTGAAATTATTACTCTAGTGAGAGCAAAATCTGCACAAGAAGTGCAGAAGTATAGTATGAGTACAACCGACCCAATGTACGTTGTAAGTGTTTAGCCTAACCCTGATAAAATAGTGATGGCGCTAAGACAAGATACCTACATATAAACCTGAGCAGTCATATAACTGTCATTCGTGCAATAGTAATAATATAATCTAACTTAGATATATGATTATTGTCGCGTCCGTTAAAAGCCTCTAGATATAACCTATATCAGGCATGAAATGTACCGAGTATGTAAGGCAACCGAATAACTGAAAGTTGAAACTGAATTGATAATATAATAACTGAAAGTACCTGGGCGTCAAAAATAATCATAGAGCGACCATACTAGGCTCTGTATCTTGGACATCTGGGCCCTCTCATAGGCGCTCGGCCATAGTAGGCTCGGTATATAGTATAGCTCGATGGTGGTGAAAATACTATAATACTGTATATATATAGACGCTCTGCTCTCTTGGCTGAAAGAAGACAAAACTAAACTGAATATGAAGTCTTGATAAGGGAGAGCGCTGTAACATAGGAACTAGGACAATGTCACTCTTACTGTAGTGCAAGTAATAACTCAAAGATATTATGTTCAGCTCGTTCAATTACAGATACTGAATGTCACAAGCATGAGTAAATGCATCTCATCACAGTGATAGCTCTCAGGCCTCATCCCTCACAATCTCATGCCAATCAGCCAAAACAATGATAACATGATGTAACAATGAATGATAATAGAGACTAAGATATGATATGCAAATGAATGAATATGACTAAGTATATAATTGCAATTTAAGTAGATAACTGAACAACGGAGATGAAAACAATCCGGTCACGCTCACTCAAAAATATCAGCCAATCAGAATCACCCATTCTCCTGGGCTGGGGAATCTTCAGACAGCAATATGTTAGATATCTAAAAATGAGCAGGATGTTTTGAAGCAGAAAGAAGATATTCCAACTCATCTCTCAAGTAGAATTAGAATCAACTGTGCAATTTTGTATAGATGACCTAGGTTTACTTCAATTTGTTTTTGTATATCCATTTGTCTATCAGTTTAGGATAGACAATTGGATGCTCACTATAGGTCTAACTCATCATATTACTCAGGATTAACTTGGTTACCGAGTTTCGGTTATCAAGTGTACATACATTGTAATCTTGGAGGGCCATCGTAGAAATTAGCCAATAGATCCCATTGTAGCATAGAAAATATAAAATATCAGAACATGAACAAGCTTCTAGCATCTGGCATACCTATCAATAGCTCTAAAATATGCATGCAAGGTACATAAGTGTGGTATGAGTAACACTGATCTGTCATCATGAGTCACAATTCCTAATAGCATGAGGAAATGCATCTATATGCCTGCACGCCAAGTAAGCATGTCAAATGTAATGCATCACAGTGAAAAACTCATGTACTCACACTCTCAAAGTACTCAATATCACTGTCTGACACTCCCACTCAGCACACTCAATCACTCAGAACACTCAATCACTCAGCACACTCAATCACTCGGCACACTCAATCACTCAAAAATGAACTGTCCCGTATAATTGCAATTTAAGTAGATAACTCAACAACAGAGATGACCACAGTTGGTCCCAAGAGAATAAGCATATAGCCTAACATGATTCACAACTCATATGATCAAACAAGTAGGGAGAAGTAACAAGCTGGTCATAGTCTAATAGTCAACTAGCATCATGATTCCCCGACGCACGCCCACACTCTCGTCACCTAGCATGTGCTTCACCTCAATGACTTTGTTTATGGAGATATTATTCATGCTAGAAATTATGTCTTGGTTGTTTCTCATTTTTTAAGATATGATAGGACTATTTTTGGCATGTTAAGCTATTTAGCTTAGTCGTAGTCATACTTGTATTTGTGTGACACGTGTTTGAGCTAAGTTGTAGCATGTTGGCTTATTCTGTGCGATATTTTGATCATGGCACTATGAGATATCTAGATAAGCGCTTTTACTAGGATCCGCCCCTCCAGATTCTGATATAATCCAGTGAATGCAGGCACTTAATAATGGCTTAGTGAGGGGATTATGCCAGGCACCCGTACAATGCTGAGTGTGTATTAGTGGATATTAGTGAGGGGATTATGCCAGGCACCCGGTGATGAATTAGTGGCTTCAACCAAAGCATCGAGAGCATGCTGAGAGTATGATGGAGGGGTATTTGTTCTAGGCACTATGTTAAACTGAGATGTTGTTGATTTTTGCATACATACTTGTCATGCATGTATAATGTTGTATTCTCCTTATTAATTGTTAATTGAGTCATGTTATTACTGTTCAGTTGTTCAACTCTGTATTTACTTGCTCGATTTTAGTTGTATCGCGTGTTATTCCACTATTTAGACTATAGTATAACAACTATAACAGAGACAAAGAGCCGCATGCAAGTCATCAATACGAATGATGCACAACTCCCTTAGTATCCTCAATATATATATATGCTGGGGATCTCTCGGTATCCCAAGGATCTCATACTATCCTCAATATATGTGCTGGGGATCTCTCGGTATCCCGCACTATAGTCCAAATCAATATAGGGGATCTCCCGGATCAATCCACTGGCTTATCTGTATTATGTTATTCTTGATTGTCACACTAAGACCGTGATGTTGGCTACCGCTCGTGCTGCATTGATGCAATAATATCAACCGCACGAATAACTAACGTATTGCACGGACAACTCACGTGCCAATAATATCAATATCTGGATCCGCTCACGTGCAAATGATGTACCAATCGCATAGACAACTCATGTTTTGTACGGACAACTCACGTGCTAATAATCATAATCCGCCCGGTATGGTCACATGCGCAATATCATAATCGCCTGGTGTGCTCACATGCAAAATATCACAATCCGCCTGATGTAGTCACAGGCACAATATCACAATCCGCGTGGCATGGTCACAAGCACAATATCATATCCTCATAAAACATATATGCAAGATTACACGTACATGATCAAAGAACATCAAAATTCATGCTACCAGTCCAAGACATATCACACACAAACATATATGAAAGAATACATGTACATGATTAAAGAACATCAAAATTTGTAATCTTGGACCGGTATAAGATATGCTATGGTGTATGCATGTGCAAGTGTGATATCGTAGCTCAAACCATATGAGTACATCACAAAATAGCAGCTACTCAGGAGAAATATCCACAATCAATTACATATATACATTGTATAAGTCTGAACAAGCTGTATCAAGCCATAAACTTGTGATCCCACAATCAACAACCATATGCATATCAATAAAAAACACATGAAGTGATGACCATAACTATGGAGACACAGATAGCACAATATACCATAAATAGGAATACCATACCAAGGTGAAATGAACCACTCAACACCCAAAGAGCCATCTCGCTTGAGTTCTACCACAAGGTCCAAACAGAACCACATCATGTGGGTAAATAGTCAACAATCTCACACCCATCGTAGCATAGAAGAGTAACTCATGGAACATTTCAAAACACGAACAAGCTCAACTCTAACCGAATGACACAACCCTCAACAATAGCTGTGCTGAGTAAACAAATCCGACCCGATGTAGAATACACATCCTTATTAGGCCTACCATTCACCTCCAAATCCATCCCGATCCTCCCAAAACAGGTAGGACCTCCGAAAAGTCCACAATGACCTAATCATATCACATATATTCAGCCATCAATCTCTTAACATAGCCTCCGGCCCCACGTCGTGACGTATCCATGCCATTATGAACCACTAACCTTGAATCACAAGAAGCATACCCGAGTGAATCACTATTCCATGCCGATCCACAAGCACTATAGACATGATCTTGCATGCATCACACGCCGTGACAATCGTGCAAACTCCTTCAAGCGATCCAACTAAATTAGCCTCTAGTGTTATTGGCATATCGTACCCTCGGTGGGGCATTACCCATTATATGAAATCAATATGATGAATATTCGATAAGAGATGGCTATGTCGAGATAGCGCTGATTCTAGAGATTGTCTCCATAGCCTTGAAGGATAATGGATGGTAGTCTTATAATATGAATCGGACAGTTAAGCTATGTAATAAGTATTATGTGTCTAAGGACTACACCCGGGAGGATCATTTGATCACATAGAGGTTAGTAAACAAGGTAAGATCATAACAAGATGTTGCATTGTGATAAATAGGCATGGTTGCGAAGTTGAAAGGATTGACAAACGTTGTATTACGCTCAAGAGCAGGAAGTTAAGGTATGTAAGGCTAACTCTTTACGTTTGGGAATGTCTATGATT